GGAAGGAAGGAAGGAAGGAAGGAAGGAAGGAAGGAAGGAAGGAAGATCAGACATAATAAAGGGAGATAAATAGAGGTATTTCCCACAAGAGAAACACCCAAGCGTCATGCCTCCTTTTTCTATGGGCTCGACTGGTGCAGACGTTTGGGGCTACGGTCCCCACAGTCCTTTGTCATTGGCTGGGCCAGCTATGGGTGGTAGGGATTGAAGACCAGAACTTCAGGCAGCCTGGATTTGCCAGCTCTGCCAATAACACAACCCTCCCCCCCATCTTAGCAGGGCGAGAGGGGCAGAAATCTTCATCAGCCATTTGCCAGACTCAGTCTCCGAGTGGGATAAAGCAACCGAATCAGCTTTGGACTCAGTCAGATTGACTGGAGTCGCTGCTGCTGCTGCGCCAGTGGTTTGGTATGACCACGGCACCAAAGTTCAATGTGCCCAAGGGCCTGCCAAGACCAGGGATCGCATTCAAGGAGCGTTGGTGTAAAGAGAGGGTTCCTCTTTTATTCAATGCTTCCACCTCATTTTCTAGCAATATTGCAGCACTTCTATAGCTCCAGTTATTAACCGAACTTGGTTCACCTTGAAACGCCTAAGCAAGGCCAAACTAGCTTAGTATCTGGATGGGAGACCCTAGAGACCCCAATTCAAAAGTGTTCCAGAAGGTGGCAATAGCAAATTATTTGGTATTGTTGCCAGGAAAATGACCTGAACGTGTGCATGCAATCCCCAGGAAATGAAACCAAACTCCAAGGGGATGCCACCTTCAAAAAGGTGTATCTTTATGGAGCTCTTAAAGATTAGTGGAGGGCAGAGACAGTTCTCAAGTGACTTCATCTAGAATCTGGGAGAAGACATCTTGCAAGCCCAGGAAGCAGGTTCTGGAAGCAAGGCACCTCATATCCAGACAATTTTGTAACAGAAGTAGGCTGGGATTAACAGAGCTTTGAACCCCTATCAGGCTAAACAGAGTTTGTGGGAACTGGTGCTCAAAGACTTTGAGGCCTGTCTGCTACTTTGTTCTTCCAAAGAGAAAAGAAATTCTGCTCCCCTGAAGCTGGCGGCCCTCCAAATTTTGTCTTCAGGATGGTCCTTGGGATTCAGAGCTGGCTCCCAAGAGAGAAAGACTTGTCCAACTTGTTCTTTTTGGAACAAAACCCCCAAGGGCTGGAAGGGAGCTTTGAGGGTGAGAGAAATGTTTGGGCATCCCTGCTCCACCCCTAGTTCTGAGACGTTTGGGCTACAACCAACATGCTCTGAAATTGTTTCCTGTCTCTTTATCTGAAATCCACTTAATTTGCCTAAGAATTTTGCCAATATGGCACAGAAGAAGTCCATGATATGAGGTGAATCTCACCTCTGAAAGGATAAACTCTTGCTGTAAAGAGCAAAACTGCAAATTAAACCCAGCCAGCTAAAGGGGACCAACGGACAGCTGCTTGCCAACCAATCACACTCAATGCCACCCTCAGGTGCCCACCGCTCCCTTACGTGAAGGCCTAGTTCATCACCTCATGCAGCTTTTCTGGCGTTGCAGCATAAGTTGTGCGTCTTTGAACCTGAGGGAGACTTGCAAGAGTTGGATTATTGAAACAAGTCTTGGATTCAACCAGTTTATTTCCTGAGTTTCCAGATGCCAAAAATTGGGGCCAAAAATTTACCAAGAAGTCTTTGTTAACGTGATCAGGAAATGCTCCTGATTCTGCACAATGCATTCAGTCCTGACCTCCCTGTTAACATGAGCCAGTGATGCTTGTGAGAAAGCCAGGGCAATCTTAATTAAGCAGCATAAACCCCTCAGTAATTAGGGCTAATTAAGCAGCATGAAGCTGGAAGAGTGACAGAGTTAAATACCTGATTCTTCAAGATGTTTTGTAATTTCAGGGCAATGATGGAACAGAGCTAGACATTTCAATCCTTGATAAACCTGCTGGACCATCTTCCCAACCAATGTTTTCCAGGGATGTTACAGCTTCCAAGATTATAAAGGTGGGAATTCTTAGGACACATCTGGAGTCCCCCAAGTTGGAGAAGGTTTTATTTAGATAACAAGGAAAAGAACACTGTGTATACTGTAGTAGCATGTTTGCACCCACACCTCCAAGCCAATACTATCTACTTTTAAAGTTATACACTTACTAAATTAAAATTGCACTCCACTTTAATTTCACACCATTTGTTTTTGCTTCCAGATTTCAAATAGGAGAAAATATAGAATTAAAAAAAACAACAACTAAGTATGTTAAGGAAAAGCCTATTCTGTACAAAGGTATTATTTATGAAAAGTATATACAATGTATTCTGTTGGAGAAACACATTTCCAAAGACTGTGTAGATTACGCAAAACTGCTAACAAAAATGCCCATGTTGGAAGAAATGTGCACAACATTTTATGCACATTTTAATGGAAACTTAAAAAAAAAATTCACATAAGGAAGATATGAGAATCAACCGCTGAGAGATTTCCAAAGTTGATACCCTGAAATTGTCAGATTTGCAGAAAAGAAGATCTGAGGGGAACTGAAATGGACCAGAACTAGAACCGGCATTTTGTAAAGATTAATCTCTGCCTGACGATAGAGCCAGACCCACCACCTCTCGAGCGGTGGTGGGCAAATTGCAACTGGCATGCATCCGGACGCACCTGTCCTTCTGACTTCGGCTGCAGGAGAAATTGAGGGGTTGCTGACACGCTGTGCATTGTGCTCCGTGTGAAGCGTACATGCTAACATTTTGCAGATAATCCCTTGTGGCGCTCAAGGAGGCTTAAATTGCTACCCTCGCAGAAGGAGGCAGCTGGGGAAATGACAGGATAATCACCGCCTTCTCTTGGGGGGCCGTCCTATTTCCTTACAAACGGCCGGGTTGCAACAGCAATTAAAACAATTATCACTGTTTGTTCCTCCTGCTGCAGGATCTTGGAGTCAGAGATCAGCACAGGCCTTTTTCACATAGGAAAGTAACAGCCCAAAGGTGATGCTTCGTGCCTGAGAAGCATGTTCTTTCCAAGCCCAGGCACGACATTTGAGATTCTTGTACCATACAAGGTGTTGTAGGAGGACAGCCGTGTCAGATGAGGGCAGCCCCACATCAGGAGGAGACTGGTAGACCTTTTCCGACGAACACACTTTGTTCAAAGACAGGAGTGTTCCTCCTGATCTTTTGCACCATCCAAGGCATGTGTTAATTCTCATGGTTCCTGAGTCCCCAGGGAAACCTGTGTGATCCTCAGCTGTGGAGTTGTCTGGTGCCGAGGAGTAGCAACCTCACTGGGCACTGTCCCTTAAGGGTGTAGCTGCCAAGGCCCCTCCTTTGGTTTAGGAAGAGAAACCAGCTGCCCACCTGGTTTGGAGCCAGGCCACTAAGCCAGATAGGACCTCGCTTGAGACATCGGTTACGTCGTCTGACACACGTGGAGCCTGCGAGACGCATTAAGTTCAGCAGGTGACCTGTGGCCGGTCTTTGCGTCTGCACGGTCTGCACGTCTCTTATTCTCCCATTTTCCACATCTACTGTGAACCTGAGTGTTGCGTAAAAGATGGGCAGTTCAGATATCATGACTACGGATTGGAAAGGGCCTGGGCAACATGAGTAAACTCCCTGCTAGGCCCAGGCCGTCTGGAAGTTATTGTTGGTTTTATTCTGCCACCATGCACGAAGAAGAATCAGTATAAGATCAGGATAAAAGGCAGAATATCTACCATGTGCCATCCTGTCAACCAAACCGCTTTTACCACGGCTCTCAGCGCATCCTACGAGCAGTGAAGCTCTCCGTTTGGCCACTGACAGCCATCGCGTAATCCCGGAGTTGCCACTTGGACTCTGAGTCCGACGCGTTGCTCTCTGCTAGAACCCAGATTAAACTCTCCTTGATCGACAGCTGGGCGGTCTCTAGCAAAGGGGAACCTGCACTCCTCTGGGTCACTGGCTCCACCGCTGGCCTGCAACGTTGCGATGCTTTTCCTGCCATCCAGTCAGAACCTGCCTTCTTGCAACTTAGATCTATCATTCCACGTCCTCAATGCTGGGACAAGAAAGACTGGGTCTTGACCTTCTTCTTTCAAATGTCCCTCCAAGTATTTGAAGAGTGCTATCATATCCTCCTTTCTGTCTTCTCTTCCCCAAGCTCAACATTCTCAAACCACTTTCTCTCCCTCCGTAAGATGTATTTTTTAATCCTGCGATCCACCTTGTTGCCTCCTCTGAACCTCCTCCAGTTTCTCTGAATCCTTCTTTAAAGTCAGTCCTGGATTCAGGGTCCTGACCAGTGTAGAATAAGGTGGGATATGCTTTTCGCCATTCCCAACACTTGTATCTTCAGCATGGATGTTTGAAGCACATAGGTCTCCCCATAGGGTGATACTTGGACCCCTTTTTCAGACCCCTTCATATAATTAAGACAAAAAGGGGCATTGTTACTGTTTTCACTCTGCTTTTCGCCCTGCTGGATGCTCTCTCCATACAGAATTAATTAAAATCCCTTGAACTTGGCAGGTTCAGCCTGTCCAGTTGCTTCTGCTTATGGACCTTGAAATCCACCTAAAAGACTTCCGCCTCATTCTACTGGTTCTTCTGACAAGAGCCCCATCTGCGTAAAAAATTGGTTGGAAAAGTAACCCTAGGCTGACTCGTTCTCTCTCTCTCTCTCTCTCCCTTTTTTTAATTCCAGAGCATTAATTATTGTGACCGTTTGGCTTCAAATGCATTGCATGCCTCGAAGGCATTTTGGAGGTTTTGAAAAGCAAGTTCAATCCCAGGCTTTAATGGACCTTATTCGTTGCAATAACATGGCCTACAAAGCTAAAGCAGAGGAGAGAAGAGGCAGGAAGGTGTGTTGGAAAAGAAGGAAGTGAAAAATGCTGAAACTGAAATCAAAATGGGGAAAACCCAGCCCCAGGGATAAACAATCCCAAGAAGATAGGGTTTTTATTATTACAATCCAGAAATCTCACTCTCTTAGCCTATCTTTATCTCTGCAATTAGTTTCCAAGGGCTTCTGAAGTATAAATCTAAAATGGTCTGCATCAACAACCTATCAAGATAGAGATTAGATGGTGAGAAAAAAAGCTAAATTATTTTGAACTTGTGCTCCATTCTGTTTACTTTTTAGCACTAAAACCACATACATTTTTTTCCTGCTGATCTTTGATGTTGCTACTTAAAAACAAAGTCACATACGCATGGAGGGTAGCAAAAATTCAACTGCAGTTGGATTCCAAAATGTATGTTTTTCCTGCAGCATGGAAGATTTCAATTTCAAACAGGCGCCTTTATGTTCTGATAGACATTTCTCTTTGACAGAGAGCTTTCAGAAATATCTACCTTTAGATAAAGGCATTGGGTAATCCAGACTTAACTATAAGGCAAATATGATGTTTATAAAGTGCAGCAATGCTCAATTAACCAAAACAATAAGTTGTCTTGGTGGTAAATATCATTTTGATTTACTACTGCAATACTGTCATTTTAACGATCAGAAAGCCTCTTTTTCGGTGCCTGCATCTAATTCATTCTTTGAAGCGTTAATATTATAGAACAAATGATGCGGAAGCTAATCTATAAAATAATACTTTAAAAATTCTTAGCAATTTGGTGATTACCATTCAAGAAGACTTGGTTGTGGGCACTGTCTTTAAACATTAAAGCGACCTATTTATTATCAGCTAAAACCATGACCCTTGTTGGAGAGGGTGTCGTTCAATGAATATTTAGAAATAGCCAAGTCCAGACTGTGAATTAGCAATTGTTCAAAATGTGGGGAGATGCTGACATCCAATTATGATTTTAAAAAGAACAATGTTGTTCTTAAAATGCCACACAGCCCAAGAAGGTCAAACAAATTTCAGCAGACAAGATAATGAAGAGATAAGAGGTAGTGAATATACTTACATCAACCACAAAGATCTTCTGAGAATCATCCAAAAACTGGACTTTGAGATGTAGCATCGTTAGGTGAGTGGCTGAGCAGCCAGCAAAGATGAGGCTCCGTGGAATCTGAGCGGAGGGAGGAAGTCTTCCGATTCATACAGAATTTTATTCTTGGTTGGATAAGGACTGGAGCCTCAAGTGCAGGTTTTTGCAAAGGAGCGTAAGACGAAAAGATACATGCCCCTATCAACCATCACAGAGCCTGAAAAGGTTTTCTTTTGTTCATGCCTTTTTCCTGTTCACCTCTTTTCCAAATGCCTCCCTTGTGGAGAGGCTAACATTCTCTCCACAAAGGCAAAGAGATAAAGATTGTGTTGCATGTGAGCCAGACCCAGGTTTTATCCGGAGCTGGTTCACACGGCTCCATCAGTCCTCAAGACGAAAAGACTTTGCTTAAGCAATGGCAACTGACAGGAAGGACCTTCTCTCAATTTTTAAAGTTTAGGACTGTTGGCTCAGAATTTGCAGGGTTTCTGTACCTGAATTGTCTTAAAAAGGTCCTTTTCCCTAAACACTTAGGTCAATGCGTGGTCAAACAGGGCAGGACCATCTATAGGAATTCCCTTGGAGAATTGTCTCTGTATATCCAGGTTGGTTCTTCGTAAGAGGGGAGTAATCTACTTGTAAGCGGCAATTAGATAGAAATCTGTTTCCTTTCTCATTGGCTTTTGGTTCCCCCTTAGAAGAACGACTCATGAATTGGGCCTACCAGCACCTGCTATCCAACTGGAGGTTGGAATGGATTTGCTTCCAAATATCCCTGTTTACTGCATTTCACTTCATGGTTTTAAAAATTATGTTGGCAACAAATTCTAATGATGCCTTTTCTTCCTTGGTTGTACCACCTCTAATTTCATCCCACCAGAGAAACGGAACCTTTGTGTGTGCAGGGGGTCCAAAGACCCCAAAGGAGGCTTGATCTAGCAGTTCCTGTGTATTGCTCTGAGATGTTACCCCTAAGCTGAAAATTTTTTCAATGTACTTTTGGATCACAGGCTGGTCAAACCCCAGCCAGCTGCGCTGTTAAATCCTTGAACGTTGTGGTCCTATCAATCAGGAGGATCTAAGCAACTTTGCAAAATGTTTATGGAAGCATGTCTTTCCTCTTGCTGTCATGCATACACCCATGCACACAGACAGAAAGCTAAAAGTTGTGCAGAGGTGTCCTCCTTTCCTGAAAGAGGGTCAATGTCTTGCGCGGGAAGATTTTGCTCTGACCACAACAGCATTCACTAATTGGAAAGCTTTTTTCTTTTCTGGTGGAAGATGCAGCGAAGATCCACCATTCCATTCAACAGGGAGACTGAACTGCCATCATTGCTTTGGAAAGAGCACCATCTCCTGGTTGTGTTGAAACACAAACTTTCCATTTTAATTGCCTGTATTTAATTGCAATTACATTGGACGTTGGCATGGGTATTTGTACATGACTGGCTTGGTATCCTGTTGTTATATTCCAGGGACAGGCTCTCGTTGCTCAAGGAAAATGATGGTTTGTAGAACAATGAGCCACTCCAAGCCATGACTTTTCCGTCCTAAAAAAGTCAAAAATCTGAAGGGCTCTTATTTTTATGTGCCTTTATATACATTCAAGGAACCTTTAAGAATAAACCTTTTCCTTACCCTCATTTACTAATAGCAACACCAAGTTCACAGTGTTGACCAAACTGTAACAGGGCAACTTTCTGCTCCAGGGCTTTACAATCAGACGTTCAGGACATAAGAGATGTGGAGGGACGTAGGAAGTGCACTCTTTCCAGGGCTTTTGGATTGAAATCCTTCTTCCCGTGTTTCTGTTGTAACAACCCGGCCATTAAGTTGTTAGTCCTTGGATGACAGAACACTGGGAGGCCTAACAGCTGAAGGGTAGACTGGAGAGTCCATAAAGACAACCAGAAGGCAGTGGCAAATCTCTTCTGCAGTGTTGCCCAGAAAGCTGCTTGGTGGTGTCTCACTGTGCCACCAGGAGTTGAGCTCAGCTCAAAGGTGCTCTGATACCTTTGTCAGCTCAGGTGGCAGCACCTAGTCATCCTTGTGTGATCTCAGAAGCTCAGCAGGGACAGTCCCAGTTAGCCCTTGGAGGGAGTTTGAGAAAACTTGAGACCAGGAAGTAAAAACAAATGAACCCCCCCCCCCCACCAAAAAACCCCCCCCCTATCCCCGAAAACTCCATGAATGTGTCCATTGAAGCTCAACTGGCAGGAGGCGTTATCATTGCTCAGCTAGTTACATGGAATTGGTGATGTCACCAAATGTGCCCCATTGGTGGTGTTCTCAAGAAAGCAGGGCAACTGTTGGAGAGACTGGTGGAGACTTTTGATTTCTTCTTATGCATGCATACGGTGAGCACTGTGTTTTCGTGATTCACCATCTCAAGAACCAAAGTAAGGCAGAGGAGGCTTTATTGGCCTTACCAGTGGAAGTTCCAGAATCAAGCCTTAAGTCGGCCGTGAAACTCAGGTGGACCACTTGCTATCTGACAGGGTTGTTGTGAGGATAAGCTGGATATAGGCACAAAGCTTATGCGTGGTCTTGGAAGAAGGACAAGCTGAAGATGTTTTTAGAAGAAGTGATAAAGGAAATTACATTTCCGTTTTGTAGTCAGCTTGTCCCCACCCTTCCTCATCTTTTGCATATCTAAAGTTCAATCGGTAGAAGAGGAAGTGTGTGAGCCACTGCAAAGCATGGCATTCTTTGCTCTACAGAAGGCATGCCATCCTGGGCCTTGCCCTCACAAGAGGGCAAAGGCAGCTGGTGCCCATTTACTGGCAGGGTAAAAACCCGGGTTGGAGAGAGACCACAACCCACATAGACAGGAGCCAACTAATGCAATGTTGCTTCTCTCCTGCTTCCTTGTAGCCACTCTGAACTTAGCTGAAAAACCACAGTGCAGTTATGGATGACTCTCCCCCAAGCCATCAACTGCATTCACCTCTAAGAGCACTGCAGCTTTTGCTTGACTTTTGGGTGGCCAGACAGAGGCCCCACCACTTCAAAAGGCAAGGAACATAAATAAGCATCATCTAACATAATTAAAATGACAATAAAGTAATGTGTGTCTTGGAAGAAGTGCGGTCTTGGAAGAACAAGCTGAAGATTTTTTTTTAGAAGTGACAAAGGAAATGACATTTCCGTTTTGTAGTCAGCTTGTTCCCACCCTTCCTCATCTTTTGCATGTCTAAAGTGCAGATCATAAAGCAACCCCCATGCTTTTCAGTCACTGACTTCTTCTCCTCTCCTCACCAAAGTGCTGTTGTGGAGAGGACCCTTCCAAACTTCTCCAGCTGGTCCTCTCACAACATAGCGTGTCTGAGCAAACTGCTCCCACAGATTGGCCAAGCTGCTCACAAATTGCCCTTCCAAGGCCCCAGTTGGTCAGTGCTTCTCATAAGAATTCACCGAGTAGGCCTGCCATACTTTATATCCTTCCTGGTTACTCTGTCTCCTCTAACCACCAGGGGAGGGACAAAGCTTCCATTGCGCATCAATTCCTCCAGTGTCTTGGAGTGTGAGAACTAGTCTAGCTGGGAATGTTTACAAGGAGAGGGTCTATGTGCCCATAGATACATAGAATCCCTGCAGGACAAGACCAAAACCATCCCATAAACCATATTTCTCTCCCCCCCATCTTTCCAAATAATTATAGAGCAACAGAAGCTGTTTGATTCTTGAGTCATGGGCCATGTCCTCAAAATAGGCAAAATAGAAGGGGGTGCAATAAGATAAGAGTTAAAGTTGATTTGATTAACATTTAATCTAATTATTCCCTGAGTATTTAATCATTTTCTCCTTCTTTCCCCCAAAGAAGTAAAATTTGTAACAACTTCTGAGGGGCTCGTGCAATGCTAGATCAGAGAATCAAGAAAAGAGATGGCTGCATCTGCACTCAAAGCTACCTGAGTGACAGTATGTGTGTGTCCCCACAACCATCTAAACACTGCACAGAAACTAGCAGGCATTACAGCAAAAGAGCACAAAACCACTGTTCTACAGTAGCTAAACCAGGAAAGAGAGGGAACCAATTTTGGTAATACAGGTATCTATTTTATTAAAAAAGTTACAAACAGCTGGACGTAGGGCTGTCTTACAAAATAAGAATGAAATTGGAGGGGCAAGGAGAGAAAAATGGTGGTTTACGTTTACAAAGCATTCGATCACCGTCTCAGTTTTGCACTTGCCAAATTTCCAGATTTTTACTTTTCCCCAGGAAGAGGTACAGTACATTTGATACACGGAATTAAAATGCAAGAACATTCAGGCATATCAGGGCTGTGGTACCATATCCAGGCAGGAGATGCCAATCGCAGCCCTGGAAGGAATCGCTCCTATCAACGGCTGGGTTTGTGCACCGGGATGGCCACACCCCACCCCAAGGAGCACTGTCTTGCTTCCCATTGTGCAACATGGAGAAAGAGGCATTTGAAGCTGAGGGAGATGGTTCTCCCTCTTCCTCTGTCCACCAGACGAATCACCTGGGATTGTTTGGTGGGGCCTGCAAAGGATCGTGGCTCAAGAGCCCCCGCTGCAGGGGTTCAACAATGGCAGTGGGACCAGTGTACCAGCGCCTTCTCTCAGCTGAACCAGAAGAGGCCTCGTGCAGGTCCACCGAGTCTTTCTGGAATCGGGGGCCTGAAGCAAGAGGGCACACAGGGCAGAGGATGGCTGGGTTTGAACCTTGCAATACACAGCGCAACCAGGAAGGATGCCTCTTTTAAACGGTCAGTCCCTTATTCCAAGCTGCGCGGAAGCAGCCCAGGTCAGGTGCCAACTCTTTGCCGCTCCCAACTCCAATTTAGAAAGAGTGGGACTTTTTTTAAAAGGTCAACCAACAGAGAAGTTTAGAAGCAATGCAACATTTCTACCACTTAAGAAACAAGGTACAATCACCGTGTGAATTCTGCATTCCCTTGGCACATCCAATACTTGGCCGATGTAAAAAGCACTGCAGAAAGGGGTTTTAGTTTGAAGACTTCCATTAAAGTGCAAGCCTAAGCTTTATTTCACTGCAAATTCTGAGT